CCGCGACAGCATCCCACCTCCCGGCCCGCTGCCACCGCCCGCATGCCCGGCGCCGCTCCCCGCTCCGCAGGGCGGGGGGGGGGGGGTCCGGCCGCCGCCGGGGGCCGGGCCGGGACCAGGAGCGGGGTTGGGATCGGGATCGGGACCGGGACCGGGCCGGGCCGGGGGTCGCTGAGGGGACGCGGCGGGCGCGCGGGGCGTTGTGGGAAGGCGGCGGCCGCCGCCCTCCGGGACGGCCGCGGGGCAGCGCAGGGGAGGGGGCGCGGCCACAGCGCCCCCGCGCGGCGGGGAGGGCGCGGCCCCTCACGGAGCGGCGGGAGCCCGCCAGGACAGAAACCCCTGAGTAACAGAAACCCCAGAATAACAGAAACCCCAGAATAACAGAAACCCCTGAGTAACAGAAACCCCGGAATGACAGTGACAGAACCCCACAGTGACACAACCATTGAAGCGTTGAGGTTGGAAAAGACCTCCGAAATCAGCGAGTCCGAGCTGTGCCCGATCCTCACCTCGTCACCCAGCCCAGAGCACTGATGCCACATCCAGGCCTTCCTTGGGCACCTCCAGGGATGGGCACTCCTGACAACGTTTTCCGTGGAGAAATTTTCTCAAATATCCCGTTTAAACCTCCCCTGAGGCTGTTCCTTCTTGTCCTGTTCCCTGGAGCAGAGCCCGACCCCCCCGGCTGTGCCCTCCTGGCAGGAGCTGTGCAGAGCCACAAGGGCCCCCTGAGCCTCCTTTGCTCCAGGCTGAGCCCCTGCCCAGCTCCCTCAGGGATTCTGCAGCCGCTGCCCAGCTCCCTCAGGGATTCTGCAGCCCCTGCCCGGCTCCCTCAGGGATTCTGCAGCCCCTGCCCAGCTCCCTCAGGGATTCTGCAGCCCCTGCCCGGCTCCCTCAGGGATTCTCCAGCCCCTGCCCGGCTCCCTCAGCCTCTCCTGGGGCTCCAGACCCTTCCCAGCTCTGTTCCCTTCCCTGGACACGCTCCAGCCCCTCAGTGTTTCTTGTCATGAGAGGCCCAGAGCTGGACACAGCAGGGCTTGACCATGGAGGATAGAGCAGGGACCCACTGTGCTTCCCTCCAGCTTTTCCCATCCCTTGATTCTGTGAAAAGCTTGCAACAAGCACTCAATATTTCCCCTCAATACTTCAATATAAAGGTGAGGAGTAGGGATGCAACTTCAGATGAACATAAGCCAAGGGGTGTTCACTACCTGTCAGGTTTTTACGCTTCAATTTCATACTTTGATAATGCAAGAAGCTACTTTTTCAGAGCTGTCAAACCATCCCTTTTATTATTGTGTATGCCTTTGATACTACATGATGTATTTACAACATCCATGGGAAGAGAAGCTGTGGCTGCCCCTGGATCCCTGGGAGTGTCCCAGGCCAGGCTGGATAGGGCTTGGAGCAGCCTGGGATGGTGGAAGGTGTTCCTGCCATGGCAGGGGTGGCACTGGATGGGATTTAGGTGCCTCCCAACTCAAATTACTCTATGATTTTCATGTTGGACAAAAACCAAAAGACACAAGTATGCATTGTACATTAATGTATTTTTTATGCTCATTATAAATAATGTATCAGTTGCTTCATCTCTCAGCTTTACATGATGTTCTAAGGACAATATATTACACCAGAACAAAACAAACTCAATAGAAAAAAAATAATATACATTTGTTTTCCTTTATACACAAGTTGTTTGTCATGAAACGACACTGAACAGAGATTAGACAGATAAATGATGGAAAACCTGAGTCACAGGGATGGCATTTGCTGGAAGTAAACAAAAGGATTTTACTCTTGATCAATCCAGACTGTTCCCCCTGCTATACCTAACATATAACCTGGCTAAAATAAAAAATGTTAATATCCTTTTTCTTTCCCCAAGCAGAATTCAAACAACTCCATTTTTCCTTGTATTTAAAGTACCACTTGGAGCATGTCCCACCAATGTAGACTTTTAAATCATTCTAAACTGACAAGCAGCACTTCAGCTGCGTGAATTTTGTACACCTCTATTTAACTTGGGGTCTGTCCCCTTCCAAAACCCCCAACCTGAAATGTCTATGTGCCTTTATTTTCACAGTGATTCATAAAGTAAGAGTTGAAAACATTTAAAACACCTTCTGGTAATGAAGTAGTTCATATCTGACATGGCAGGGCCTGTTGTAGGAACAAGGCCTAAAAGTTCAGTGATTTTTGACTGCAACAATAACATTAAATACTTTGGTTTTTTTGCCTATTCTGCATAGGAGACACATTCATGCACAAAACACCCCTAATGCTTAATAAATTATGTGTTTCTATGCTTATTTTCAGTAGCCTGGACTTTGTAAAACAGCTGCTTCTCTTGTGAGCTGACACACTGAATTCAGGAGCAATGTGACACCCATCTGGAAGCAGCTCTGCCTTTCTCTGGGATCCCTCCTTTTGGGAAGGGATTGTCCTGAATTGTCCTGTGGCACCCCAGCCACTACAGTACAGGAAGGCAAAAGGCACTTCTGAGAATTAATCCACACAAATCTTCAGTGAAACTGGAGTTTTTACCAACAGGACGTTTTCCTCCTCCTCCTCCTCTCTCCTGTAGTTAAGTTGTTTTTTTCTGAAGTTTAGTGAAAGAGAAGTAGAGCAAAGTAGGATAGGGAAGAAAGGGAAAAGCCAAAAGTCCCTTTTCCCTATTTCTGCTTCTCCCTTTTTGGTGCTGTGCTCTAGCAATGTCTGTGTTTGGTTTATAAAAGCCTGGTAACTACCAGGAGATTAAAAGAATTAGTGAAATAGTCCAGCCTTTAAATTGAGCAACATGAAAGTAATTGCACAATAATTTAAGTGAAATATTCATTCCTTCCTTTTAGACTCTGGTCACAGACACAAGTAAATCAAGGTCAAGGTATGAAGTAGTCTTAAAATGTACTAGATATTAATATTTTTTTCCAAATACAGTTCTGAACCTAATTTCTTTTGTTTCCTGGAATTTTGCTAATTTCCAGAGCATGGGTTTAGGGTGTGCTCAGTTCCCACTTTGCCAACACACAGCCCTGGTACCCACGCAGAGATTTATTATCATGTAACTCAGACCACTTGGTGATAAAAGCACCAAGAAAATCACTACTTCAGCTTTTCAAACCCTCAGATTTCTATCAATCTAAGACATTTCCAGTTTGTGAAAGTATTTTTGCAGCCTCTGAAAAAATCTGTAAATCCTTGAATTTGGGATGACTTGGAGAAAACTCCACTACATGCAATTAGAAGAGCACAGCAGTGAAATAATTTATGAGGACTCCAACATGATGTTATTCCATGATTCTATTTCCATTTCCACTTTGTTGCCTGCACAAAGCAATAGAGGAGGAAAAGGAGGAGGAAAAAGTCCCTTTCTAGTGACTAGAGTGTTTCCTGTGTCTAGTTCAGTCCACAAACCCTCCAAAATTGATAAGTAACCCCAGAGGCACAGGAACATCCTCTCAGCCACATCAGTATGCAATAAAATTCATTTTCCATCTGCTCCTGCACAGCTTGCAGGCACTTTCACCCCAGTTTTTGGAGGAATTTTGGCTCCTGACACAATGATCAGCTTGCCAGTGATCTCTGAGACAAAACACCTCTTCCTCCCCCTCCCAATCGCTTGCATTTCAAGAGGTCCCGTTTCAAGTATTCCAGAAGGGCCCCAGTTTGATTTACAATGTTTAATTGTGCCTGCCTGCTCTGGGGAGGCAGGGCAGGATAACACACACACCCCCTTGAGCAGGCAGGCTCTTACCCAGCTGCTTCTCTGGCAAACCCCTCTGTCTGGAAGGTGCTCCCAAAAATGTTCATTTCTCCACTCATCCCAAACCTTGATGCTGCTCTTCAAGTTGGGTAAGGAGTACCAAGGAAATACTCAGCCAAATCCAATTTGTTTTACCCTGCTTTCCCTCAGGGGTGTTTACCTCCCTCTGCTGACATTTATACTCACATTTATAGCTGAAGGAAGCTGATTTAGGCTGATGCTCCCTGAGTTCTTCATGATTACACTGAATGTGTTTCTGCACAACTAATGACAGATTCTGCACCAGGATTAACACCAAAGACAAGACTTTTCCAAATGATTTCCTCAGGTCAGAGCAAATGCTGCATTCCTGGCAAAGCTCCATGCTCATGAGGGTTCCAACACAGGATCCCACTGACAAAATCATCCAAGTGCCCCTCGTCATTCTTCTGCCAGCAGTTTAATAAATACACTGCACTGCTTTACTGAATTTACAAATCACATAAACAAAGCTCCCATCTTTGCTTCTGTTCCGTGACTCTTCCTTGGTTTAACTTATTTCCATCTACAAAACCAGTAAGGCCTCTACAATTCAGAGTTGTCTGGCAGCACAGCTTTAAAAAAAGGAAATAATAGTCTTTATTTGCTAGTTGGGAAATTTCTTCAGATGAAATATTGTCACCCTTAGTTGGAGGCAGTAGTCTAGTTCTGCATTTTAAATAAACCTCTTTTTTTTTCCTGAGCTCTGCAGAGAAACAGCCATGAAGAACAACCCAGAAGCCTAATGAATAATTGCTTTAGAGAAACCAGAATCAGTTCACAGGACACAGCCCATGGCAGCAAAGTCCTGCCTTCAATAACATTTTTGCTGACAGTGTTGAAGACTGACCCATCAGCATTTCTAGGTTTGGAGCTATTTTAGAAAGCTGAAAATATTGTTAAGTTTTCAGTTCAATAATCTGAGTTTACTTTAGGCCTTGGCTTCAAATTAGATGATCCAGTACAGGAAATTCAGAATTTGGATTTGAAAAGAAAGTCAAGGCATCAAAGTAGGTTAGCCTAGAAAAATATAAGTTTGGGGTTTTTTACATAGTGATGATTATTTTTAGGCAAAACTTAGCAGAAACCCAGTTTGGGAACCAACAAAATTCTCCTTTGGTAGTGTCCATTTTGGGAATCAGCTCTGTGCTCTGTGGGGAGGCATTTGTAACTAAAACTCATTCAGTAAGAAAAGGCAGCGCAGTGAGAAGCTGAAATACTCCCATTTCAGTAAAGTGCAGGGGCTGGGACACACAGCAGCTTTGCTATGACCTGATCTCTGGGCTGAAGGAGGGGGAGGCCAAATTCTTCACTATTCTGTTGAGGTTGGCAATTTTCTCTTCCAGTAAATAATTTTTCCTCTCTGCAGTTTTCTGCCTCTGCTCTGTCACCTCCAGAGCCTTCAGCAGCTGCGCGTTCTCCACGTAGAGATCCTTGACCATGGCATCTGCCTTGGTGTTCTTGGAAAGCTGGGGTGGCAATGGGACACAGGCACTCAGCAAAGGGCAAAGAAAAACCCCAGAGGAGGTGGGGAAGTGAATGTGTTAATTATAATTCAAATATCAAAGTAATTGATAATATCAAATATCCCACTCCTCCCATTAAAAACCTGGGGTCTTCAGAGATGCTGTGGAAGTTTTGAGACTGGAAAGGTTTTTTAAGGAGATGGGGTTGGTGACCCTTGGTGTTCTTGGAAAGCTGGGGTGGGAATGGGACAAGGGACTCAGCAAAGGGCAAAGAAAAACCCCAGAGGAGGTGGGGAAGTGAATGTGTTAATTATAGCTCAAATATCAAATAATTATAATATCAAATATCCCACTCCTCCCATTAAAAACCCAGGGTCTTCAGAGATGCTCAGAAATTTTTGAGACTGGAAAGATTTTTTAAGGAGATGGGGTTGGTTCCCCTTGGTGTTCTTGGAAAGCTGGGGTGGGAATGGGACACAGGCACTCAGCAAAGGGCAAAGAAAAACCCCAGAGGAGGTGGGGAAGTGAATGTGTTAATTATAGCTCAAATATCAAATAATTGATAATATCAAATATCCCACTCCTCTCATTAAAAACCCGGGGTCTTCAGAGATGCTCAGAAATTTTTGAGACTGGAAAGGTTTTTTAAGGAGATGGGGTTGGTGACCCTTGGTGTTCTTGGAAAGTCAGGATGGGAATGGGACACAGGCACTCAGCAAAGGGCAAAGAAAAACCCCAGAGGAGGTGGGGAAGTAGGTGAATGTGTTAATTATAATTCAAATATCAAAGTAAAACCCCACTCCTCTCATTAAAAACCTGGGGTCTTCAGAGATGCTGTGGAAGTTTTGAGACTGCAAAGGCTTTTTAAGGAGATGGGGTTGGTGACCCTTGGTGTTCTTGGAAAGTCAGGATGGGAATGGGACAAGGGACTCAGCAAAGGGCAAAGAAAAACCCCAAAGGAGGTGGGGAAGTGAATGTGCTCAATATCAAAGCTCAAATATCAAAGTAATTGATAATATCAAATATCCCACTCCTCTCATTAAAAACCTGGGGTCTTTAGAGATGCTCAGAAATTCTTGAGACTGGAAAGACTTTTTAAAGAGATGGGGTTGGTAGCAGAGAGACTCAAATCCATCTTGTCAGGTGAATTCTCCTTTACACCATTTGTCCTCTAAGGATAAATTTAGTGCACCAAAGAATCCACAAGCCCAGTGATCCCACAGAGACACTTCCAAAAACCCCAAAACCACATCAAACAAAGGATGGATTTAGGGCAGGAGACCTTAAAGAAATCAATATTTTCTCCTCAGGAAATTATTTTTTCCTCCTTTTCTAAGCAACTTTTCCAGTTCGCATCCTCAGCTGAAATTTGATTTTTGTTTCTTGATTTAGGAAATTGAGGAGTGGATTTAGTCCCCACTTTAAGAGTTTTATGAATTTTGGACAAATATGCTGTAGTTGAGCTCAGAATAAAATTAAATAAAACCACTTTTAACTTTATTCTGAACAAGAGCTTGGCAGCTTTTGCTCTCTTAGGGGTTTAGAGAAGGAATGGGGAAGGTTTGAGGAAATCCAAAACCACTTACTTGTTCTTTCAGCTGATTTACTTTATCTTGGAGAAGCCTCTTCACAAGCCTTAATTTCTGCTCCACATCCATCATTCTCTCTTCCATCATTTTTAGGAGCTGCTCATGACCCTCCTGGAAAGCAACATTTATGTGAAAAATCAGTTAAAAATCACTTCTCATTCACCAGTCTGTTTTGTTTTTCCACTTCATGCTCAAAAAAATTGGTGGCCATCCACATTTCAGTCTGCTTTAGAGCAAATAAATTAATAAACCTTTAATTAAAGCAAAATATTTATGGCAACACTTAAAGGACACCCTCAGCATTCCACTGGGTTTCCAAGCAAGTTACATTTGAAATCAGCAAATCAAGGAAAAATTATATAAAATTCTAACTTTTGTCTTGTTTGTGACAGAGCTGGATAATTTCCTTTTCTTGTTCTTTGGTGCTGCCAAATTTCAGATGAATGTGGAAAACAAAATGCCAATTTAATGGTTTTAAAATAAAAATAAAGTGAAGTTATAAGGTCATATTGACAATGTAACTCTCCCATGCCAGAGACCCCTTAAAACTGAGTCATATCCAAAAGAAACAGGATTCCAAACTTCATTTTTTTACGTCTTTTTAGGTTAGTTTTCATAACCCTAAACTGGTTTTTCTTCTTTTTCTTCAGCAAGGTGACAGTGTAACTAAAAGCATCATAATTCTGTGGCATGTTACACGAACACCTGAGGGAAATTTTCCCAAATAAATAAGAAACATCAGGAATTACAAAAGAACTTGACTAATATCTAAAAGAAGTGGGATTCCAAACTTCATTTTTTTTACATCTTTTTAGATTACTTTTTTTTTAGATTAGTTTTTTCATAACCCTAAACTGTTTTTTTTTCAGCAAGGTAACTAAAAGCATCATAATTCTGTGGCATGTTACATGAACACCTGAGAGAAATTTTCCCAAATAAATAAGAAACATCAGGAATTACAAAACAACTTGACTAATATCCAAAAGAAACAGGATTCCAAACTTCATTTTTTACATCTTTTTAGGTTAGTTTTCATAGCCCTAAACTGGTTTTTCTTCAGCAAGGTGAGAGTGTAACTACGAGTATCATAATTCTGTGTCATGTTACATGAACACCTGAGGGAAATTTTTCCAAATAAATAAGAAACATCAGTAATCACAAAAGAACTTGAGTAATATCCAAAAGAAATGGGATTCCAAACTTCATTTTTTAACATCTTTTTAGATTAGTTTTCATAACCCTAAACTGTTTTTTTTTCAGCAAGGTAACTAAAAGCATCATAATTCTGTGGCATGTTACACGAACACCTGAGGGAAATTTTTCCAAATAAATAAGAAACATCAGGAATTACAAAAGAACTTGAGGGAAATTTTCCCAAATAAATAAGAAACATCAGGAATTACAAAAGAACTTGAGTAATATCCAAAAGAAACAGGATTCCAAACTTCATTTTTTTACATCTTTTTAGATTAGTTTTCATAATCCTAAAGTGGTTTTTCTTCTTTTTCTTCAGCAAGGTGACAGTGTAACTAAAAGCATCATAATTCTGTGGCATGTTAAACAAACACCTGAGAGAAATTTTCCCAAATAAATAAGAAACATCAGGAATTACAAAAGAACTTGAGTAATATCCAAAAGAAATGGGATTCCAAACTTCATTTTTTACATCTTTTTAGATTAGTTTTCATAACCCTAAACTGTTTTTTTTTCAGCAAGGTAACTAAAAGCATCATAATTCTGTGGCATGTTACATGAACACCTGAGGGAAATTTTCCCAAATAAATAAGAAACATCAGGAATTACAAAAGAACTTGAGTAATATCCAAAAGAAGTGGGATTCCAAACTTCATTTTTTTTACATCTTTTTAGATTAGTTTTCATAATCCTAAAGTGGTTTTTCTTCTTTTTCTTCAGCAAGGTGACAGTGTAACTAAAAGCATCATAATTCTGTGGCATGTTAAACAAACACCTGAGAGAAATTTTCCCAAAAAATAAGAAACATCAGGAATTACAAAAGAACTTGAGTAATATTCAAAAGAAACAGGATTCCAAACTTCATTTTTTACATCTTTTTAGGTTAGTTTTCATAACCCTAAACTGGTTTTTCTTCAGCAAGGTGACAGTGTAACTACGAGTATCATAATTCTGTGTCATGTTACATGAACACCTGAGGGAAATGTTCCCAAATAAATAAGAAACATCAGGAATTACAAAAGAACGAGGGAAATTTTTCCAAATAAATAAGAAACATCAGGAATTACAAAAGAACTTGACTAATATCCAAAAGAAGTGGGATTCCAAACTTCATTTTTTACATCTTTTTAGATTACTTTTTTTTAGATTAGTTTTTTCATAACCCTAAACTGGTTTTTCTTCAGCAAGGTAACTAAAAGCATCATAATTCTGTGGCATGTTACATGAACACCTGAGGGAAATTTTCCCAAATAAATAAGAAACATCAGGAATTACAAAACAACTTGACTAATATTCAAAATAAACAGGATTCCAAACTTCATTTTTTACATCTTTTTAGATTAGTTTTCATAACCCTAAAGTGGTTTTTCTTCAGCAAGGTGACAGTGTAACTAAAAGCATCATAGTTCTGTGGCATGTTACACGAACACCTGAGGGAAATTTTCCCAAATAAATAAGAAACATCAGGAATTACAAAAGAACTTGAGTAATATCCAAAAGAAGTAGGATTCCAAACTTCATTTTTTACATCTTTTTTTTTAGATTACTTTTTTTTTAGATTAGTTTTTTCATAACCCTAAACTGGTTTTTCTTCAGCAAGGTAACTAAAAGCATCATAATTCTGTGGCATGTTACATGAACACCTGAGGGAAATTTTCCCAAATAAATAAGAAACATCAGGAATTACAAAAGAACTTGAGGGAAATTTTTCCAAATAAATAAGAAACATCAGGAATTACAAAAGAACTTGACTAATATCCAAAAGAAACAGGATTCCAAACTTCATTTTTTTACATCTTTTTAGGTTAGTTTTCATAACCCTAAACTGTTTTTTTTTCAGCAAGGTAACTAAAAGCATCATAATTCTGTGGCATGTTAGGTGAACACCTGAGGGAAATTTTCCCAAATAAATAAGAAACATCAGGAATTACAAAAGAACTTGAGGGAAATTTTCCCAAATAAATAAGAAACATCAGGAATTACAAAAGAACTTGACTAATATCCAAAAGAAGTGGGATTCCAAACTTCATTTTTTTACATCTTTTTAGGTTAGTTTTCATAACCCTAAAGTGGTTTTTCTTCTTTTTCTTCAGCAAGGTGACAGTGTAACTAAAAGCATCATAATTCTGTGGCATGTTACACAAACACCTGAGAGAAATTTTCCCAAATAAATAAGAAACATCAGTAATCACAAAAGAACTTGAGTAATATCCAAAAGAAACAGGATTCCAAACTTCATTTTTTAACATCTTTTTAGATTAGTTTTCATAACCCTAAACTGGTTTTTCTTCAGCAAGGTAACTAAAAGCATCATAATTCTGTGGCATGTTACATGAACACCTGAGGGAAATTTTCCCAAATAAATAAGAAACATCAGGAATTACAGAAGAACTTGTTTGGATTTAGGAACTTTAAACACCAACTGCAGGAAATTTGAGACTTGGTTTTAATGCTGGTTTGTTATTCAAATTCCAGGCAGTCATTTGAGGAGATCCAAGTTTGAGAAAGCACCAACCCAAACCAAAACACCTTCAAAAACCCAAACCCATCCCACCTGTGGAGGAGGATAAATTGAAATTTGTGTCAGGCAGGGAGTTCCTCATCTAAAACCCTACAAAATGATCCCCCTGGGGGGCTGATTTAATCTCACTCAACATTTTATTTTATTCGCTGTGGCATCAGAAATTCAAATCTGTGGACGAGGTAATGTGACAATCTATTTTTATGAAAAAACTTACATTAGAGTCACATAGAAAAAAAGAGTTTTACTGTGGGGGTGGAGTGGATATTTTTCTGAATGAATGGAATTTGATTGGAATTCAAAACCTTGGAATTCACCATTCCACTTTCCACTGGTTGCAGGAGCCCTGGGTGAGTAATTATGTGGAAAATAAGAATTAGAGAGGTCTCAATACCTGTGATCCCTGTTTTTTTGCCTTAAATAGTCTCACTTCACATTATTTCATGTTAAATGGCAGAAGTCAGCTCAGGCAGCAGCTTTAAGGTCATTAAAAATAGGAGAAAAAAGATCTTTACAAGCAAACAGCTGGAATGGTTCATGGCTCCAACTAGAAAAATCACAGGCCTTAAAGAGGTGTTTTGCTGAACTGTTAAAAGTATTAAAATCCTAATTTAATTAAATTAGGATTAAATAAATTAATTAAATCCTAATAAATTAATTACATTTCATTAAAATCCTAGTTTGAGACAAAATAAAAACGATAGCATTTTGTCCAATAATCAATAATTTTCCCTTTTTTACTTTATGGCCACAGCAGTAGAAGATCCCTCATTTTCTTAAATTTTCAGGTACATGTGCTAAAGAAAAGCTGAGTTTCTGTACTCTAATACATCCCTACCACAAATATTTCCCAGATATAACAATGTTCATTACCAAAGATAAATATTTTGTCTAAAACTTGTTCATTCTTGAAGTAGAAATTAATGACTTCCATGAAGACAAGAGACATTATGGTTAAAAAAAGATTTTATTTTTCATTTACATCAAAAAAAGTCATCTTTCCCTGTTAAAAAGTTTATACATCTTATACAAAAATGCAGTATAAATACCCCAGGTTTTCTTCAACTCTCATATAAAATTAGTTCCATTTGAGAAAAATAGGCTCTTTCCCATACTGAACAACTGCACATTTTAAATAACATAAATAAAACCCGTTTGCAACACATTTTAAAAAGCTTCTGGAAGCTTCTGAGCTTTCACAAAATAGCTTCTAGACAAATAAATAAGAAAATAACACTGCGGAGACTTTTTTTTTTTTTGCTGGTTTTTTGAGAGAAAAAAAGGAAACAAAAAAGAAAAAAGGAAACAAAAAAGAAAAAAGGAAACAAAAAAAAAGGAAACAAAAAAGAAAAAAGGAAACGGGAAAAAAATGAAGGAAAAAAAAGAGGGGAAAAAA